AAGAAATTACAGTGCATACTAGTCTATTTATAGTCTAAAATCTAACAATCTATCTAACAAATTAATAGCTGGAAGAAGGATATAGAAGAGACTAGAATGAGCTGTTGAATCATGCTGGAAACCTGCTGAATCACGCTGGGAATGTGAGCCGCTGAACTGGAGCCAATCATGCACATATTCTAACAAACCACAACAATGGGTTTGGGAAACAGACAGCCACTGAGGGTTGATAGTTTAGGAAGTTATATAAATAAATTGTTTTGTTGTTTATACAAGTATTTTTAATAATGGGTTTGTTCGTAAGATTATTTGCTTTACTTTGTTGGATTTGCATTGCTTTATTATTTTATCTCTATTTTGGTGTCGAGTGTGAGTAAGGTGGTTTTGGGGGTTTTGTAGGGTTTGAATTAGGAAAACTTATTCCATCGTGGAACAAAAGTAAAGATATGCATCGATATTGCTACCAATTTGAATGCACTCTACACCCTTTTTTTTGTCAAATCTGAACATGTTTTACACATTTTGAGTACTCTTTTCTTTGATATTGATAATCAGATCGATCTATCAATGTAAGATCCGCCAACCTCTCTATAGAACTTGTGTAGTTTCAGTCCAATCACATTTTTGTGTGGCTTTCTTTGAGTGATTTCCTTTAAAACTTGATGATGGTATATATCGATTTAGCTGCCTTTGATTTATGAATTACGACTTATGGGAGATTCATGAATATAGTACTATCCATTAGTTAATTAATTATCGTGTATGTATTTATGTTATCATTTTTATGGATTTGTCTTTTCCCTTTGGTTCATTCACTATTTTTAATTGTTTGAAATTGTTATTTTTTTCCTAAATGGTCTATGACTCTATCTCATCTATTATATATAACTATGGTCTATACTATGCGTTGGTACAATGCTTTGACAAAAAAAAAAAAAAATTATATCTTATAAATGAAAAAAATTGATTGCATGCTATGATTGAAGAGCCAAAATTCTGAAGTTCGCCTCAGGCATTGCGAAACACAAGTACGCCTTGGAATACGTGTGTTGTCTCATCTTATAAATTTTTCTTATTCCATGTATGTTCCTTGTAAAAGATGAGTTCTGCCAAAACTTGAGCACCGAGGTTATTAAAAAAGTAAGCCAGAATGCTCGTAGTACAACTTGAGGACTGTTCTCACTTTTTCTCATTTCTTAAAAAAAAAAAAAAGGATGAACCGCATCTTTAGATGCCCCTACCTGCCTTGCCCTGCCCTGTCTTGGGCCTTGGTGAATGAGGTATATCACAGGTTATGCCTCCAATGGTATAGGGTGGAAGATTGCTTGTATACTTGCACTTACTCAATGGCCAAATCTATATTTTAAAATTCAAATTCTTAACGCGTCAGCCTCAAGTAAAGTTGGAGTTTTTCCACCTTCCCTTTTTACCACTTGGAGTTGTGCCATGGGGGCCTCTTTTTCTCAATTCTTTGTTGTACATTTACTTTGTGGGGCACAATGAGCTCTAGAGTCCGTATAAGTTGGCTAATTTTGAGTTTGCCCAGAATCTTTTTCCCAAGGGAAAATTTAGCATTTTTCCTTGAGCTATTGCTTGG